GCAATCTTGATCTACCAAAGTTATCTCTGGTGGAAGGTAGAACCATAAGATTATACGAAAGGAATCGTAATCTAACTTAGGTATTGATAATTGTTTATCATCATTCTTGATGTTATTTCTTGAGCGTCTTCTTGATTTTATTTTTGGCATTTCAAACAAATTGATAATAATATAGGAAAAATTATTAATCAACTATATACAGATCAATATAAGAAATTTGAATTAATAATTAAAATTATTATAAATAAATCTAAAAACTTAGAAATTTGAATTAATAATTTTCGATGATGTAAAAATATATATAAATAATATTCTAGCACCTCAGTGTTGAAAAAAAACCAAAAAATGTAAGAGAAATTTTATTTATAATAATTTTCAATTTTTTGATAACTTTTATTAACTCTTATTTGGTTGGCCACCCTAAATGATGCTCCACTGGCGCACTTTTAGATCAAATGCCTAAAGTTAAAACAAGATATTATTCAGTTCGAAATGGAGAAAAATCTGGAATTTACAAAAGTTGGGATGAATATTATCAACACATCAAAGATTATCCTAAAGCAAGATATAAGAAATTTAATACATTAAAAGAAGCCCAGGAATTCAAAGAAGGAATTAACAAGGAAACAAAAAAAAAGAAACAGACAACTTTAAAATTTTCAAATGATGAATTATTAATTGATAATGATCGTATTGTGGTTTATACTGATGGAACATGTGAAGATAATGGAGATGATAATGCTAAAGGAGGGATTGGTGTATTTTTTGGAGATAATGATCCTAGAAATTTATCTGAAGAATTACCTAGTGAATTACAGACAAATAATCGCGCAGAGATTTATGCTGTAATTCGTGCAATAAAAAATTGTAAAGATGATAGTAAAATATTAGAAATAAAAACTGACAGTACATATGTGATTAACGCATGTGAAAGATGGATCAAAAAATGGGTTGATAATGATTGGTATAGAGATGATAAAAAAACAAAACTAGTCAAGAATAAAGATATTTTATTTAAACTTTATAATTTGATAGAAACACGTAAAAAAATCATATTCACACATGTTAAATCACATTCTGGTATTCACGGAAATAAAGAAGCAGATACATTAGCAAAATCTTCAATAAAGAAATAATTTTTCATATGTTGAATAAAAAATATAAAGTGTTTAAAAAATAAATGAAATATAATATTTTTGGAAAAGAACAAACTATCATTAGATTTGAGAACGTCGAGCAGACGCGAGATGGCTCTCGAATATAATGATAGTTTCAGGAAAGTTTTGCTCCTCCTTTTCACTAAAAGGAGACTGTGGGGCATCATTTGGGGTGGCCATCTCAATAGCGATTAAAACAGCGATTAAAATTTCAATTCAACGATGATATTATCGTTGTATCAACGATACAACATCGATATCATCAAAGATTTGTAATTTTTATCATCGTTATTATCAAATTGAGTATAAATAAATAAATCAAATAAATAAATAAGAATATAAATAAAGGATCTACAAATATATTACATAATTTTAAAATTGAAATTTTACATTTTTTTAAAAAAATTTTAAAAAATTTTAATTTATTTGGAGTACATTAACATGTGAATTTATTTTAGTTTTATTTGATTGGTTAATATACCAATAACAATTTTGTATAAATATTTATGATTTTTAATTTCTAATCAATTTATTCATCATTGAAAAAATGGAAAAATTATCTGATCAAGAGATAAATGATATTATTAAAAAAATTACTGACGGATATAAATCGAAGAATGTTGATATAGATAAAATAAGTTTAAATCTTCAAAAAATCATTAATTTGTTAAATAATTTTGAAGAAGAGAATTATGAAAAGATACAAAAATTAAAAAATGAAATATCAAAAGAAATTAAAAAAGAGTTAGAAGATAAAGATGTAGATTATGATGAACATCAAATTAAATCAATAATTCATTTACTTATATATTCTATTTATCAATATATTATTATTCGTAATAAGAGACAAATAATAATTAAAAAACCAATATCAGAAAAAAAATTAAGGAGAGAATTAAATAAGATTATCCTAAAAAAGAAATATTTTACAAAAAAATTTCCTGAAAGTAAAATAAAAGAAATTATTAATCATATTATAGAAGAGATATTTGTTAAAGTTAAGATTCAAAAAGATGATAGGGATGAATTAGAAAATCATTTGAGATATTTCATTAAGTCTATTAGTAATTTTAATGTTCGTGATGAGGAACATTTTAATAAGATTAAAAACAATATTTTTAATAAGGTCAAAAATATATTAAATAATTCTTATGATAAAGATCTTGATAATAAGATAGAAAAAATTCTTTCTAATATTACATATTATCTTTATCGAGAAATTATATTATCTGATAATAGTAAAGATCCAATATTTCTTAAAGATAAAATATCAATCAGGAGACCAGGAAATATAGATGTGAAAGATTTGGATCAGAACAAGGACAAATATAAATATGAAAGAGAAAGAAAATTTGAAAAAACAAGAGAAAAACCTAAAAGAAGAAAATCAATTAGAGAGAAACAACAATTTGAAAT